CGTGAGCAGCAGTGGTTACAGCCGGCAATATCTCTTACAACAGTTTTATGCTCCTCTAACGAGGGTACTCATAGGCTTGCAGCCAGAGGAGATATTTGCCGGCGTCGTAAATAATCAGCGATATGGTATGTGCAGAATGTTCTTTCGGCATCCCGGCCCGTTTTCCCTTTCCTTTTCCCTTTGCCATCCCTATTCTCGATTCTGTCTCTTGACCTCTGTCATCACTCCCGCTGCTGTTTTGTCTCGTGGCTTTCTCGAATGCTCATTGCTGACCTAGCTAAAGCAGAACCTCGCTCGCATGATACATCAAGCCAGGATATCCCAAAATTTCTACTAGTTCCAAGATTAATTCAGATGAAACCCACTGCCCATGATGCTCATGTGGATGGGGCTATACTTGTAGCATTCCTGCTCTATTGATCTCACCTTCCGTCCAGCACATGGGCAAGTCTTTCGACCTCACATCAATCATCCCAACACCCTTAGTCCAGATAGAGTTCTGTAGATCCGAATGACTGCTATTGGTCATCAGAGAGGTGCGTGAGATGCACACTATATAAGACTCTGCGAGGGATCGATCAGAAGGTCGATGGGGGCGGGCAGGAATCGGGCATGAGATCCCCGCAGCCCAGGCGCGTGATGGAATACCAAGAACGAGGCCCCGACGATCAAGCGTGGAGAGGACGAGGCTGGAAGGGAGAGGGCAGCAGCTGAGCTGCGGAGAGTCAGCCGGAGGGCTGAAAAGCACGGCGAATGGCTGGCTTAGTTAAGCCCGGGGGTCTTTCCTTCCCCGCAACGGCCGAACGTCAAAACTTATCGCTCAACGCCACTTCCTTCCCTCGTTCATGGCCCGCCCTGGGGACCATTGACTGTTGAAATATGCCTCATGAGATTCTCGCTGCTCGTTGGATGCTGGCGGTTTTCTGAGCTCTCTTTCTCCCCGCGTCTGTCTCGAGTTCTGCGTACTTAAAGTCAATCCTCACGTATTGTTACCTCGAATCATTACTCGAACACTTGCTTATCGGTACCTCCGCCCTGGGTTACCAGGAACCAGGTCCAGGACCACGAGACCAGTCGTTCACTGCGGGCTTGAGGGACTTGCAACTAGAAAGCCTTCAATATGCGTGCGTTACTTGCTATTCATAGGTTGCTCTGCTTGCTTGCAGTCTTCTCTGAGACCAATGCGCTGGCGTTGCGGTCGCAGGACGTCCTTGCGCCATTGTCTCCAAATGCGCAGATTCCGCTGGAGGATTCAACCGATCCCCCGTCAAAGCAGCTCCCCCTTCCTGCTCCAGAGAGGCCCAGTGAACCGATCGGCTCGATAAGCCGCACTTACAACGATTTGCTGGATGCTCTCAATGTGATGCAGGATGACTACTTCCAGCTTTGGCAAGGTACTTGGCCTACTAGTATCGATTGGACTGCTGCCGTGCTTGGGACTCATGTCTCCGCCACCCTCTCCTCACTGACTTTTACGGCGGGGGATGTACTGTCGGACCTTCTTTCAGAGAATGCTAGCGGGAATCGCAAACAGTCGAAAGATATAACTGAACAGTATTCGTTGGGATTCGAGAATCTCATTAACCATTATTTTGACCAAACCTCCGCATTCTACTTCGGTGAGGATGCCTTTGCTGTAAGAAACCAGGCTTTCGATGACATGCTATGGGTTGTTCTGGGCTGGCTGGAGAACATAAAGTTCCAAGTGTTGCACAGCGACCTGCATTACGATGACCCGTTCTCACCCAACGAGACAACAAAACGCCTCTGGCATGGAACCCAGTTTCAGTCTCCGGCGGCTCATCGGGCACGTGTGTTCTATGGTCTTGCGTCCGGGGGTTGGGACGTTTCCTTGTGTAATGGCGGGATGATCTGGAGCCCTTACCTGACGCCCTACAAAAATGCCATCACCAATGAGCTGTACATAGCCGCTAGCATCGGGATGTATCTCTACTTCCCCGGAGACTTTATTGATTCACCCTTTATGGGAACCACATTGGACGATGAGAACTGGTCAGACGGTTACCCTCACGACCCAACTCATCTGCAGGCCGCCATCGAGGGATATTCGTGGCTAAATGCCTCAAATATGACGGGTGCCAATGGCCTCTATGGCGATGGCTTCCATATCAGTGGTTGGAAGAGTGCCGATGATCCTGGCACGCGCAAATGTGATGTTCTCAACACCATGGTATATACATACAACCAGGGAGTGATCCTTAGCGGGCTAAGGGGACTTTGGTTAGCTACCGGTTTGCAGCAGTATCTATCTGACGGGCACCGATTGGTCAATGATGTGCTCTTGGCTACCGGATGGCCTGACAAAGGCAGTCAGCAGTGGGAAGGGCTTGGCCGCGGAGGTGTGTTGGAAGATGCGTGCGACTCTTCCGGGAGCTGCTCCCAAAATGGACAAACCTTCAAAGGTATCTTCTTTCATCATTTGGCCGAGTTCTGCCGAGACATCCGGCCGCAGGAATTGCGTTTTCTGGCCAGTGCCAACCGCACAGGGGACGGGGAAGACGGCTGGCAGTACGTATACGAGTGGCACCAAGCACGATGCCGAACATACCGCCCCTGGATCGAGCACAACGCCAACGCCGCTCTGTTGACCAAGAATGGCGACGGCAAGATCGGGGAGTGGTGGGGAAACACCACCGCCACCGACGTGAGTCCTCTGCCGCAGGGGGCGATCGACTATCAAAACTATGGGGCGCAGGGTGAGGACTCGGAGGCACTGACGGGACTTCTCCGCAGCCGTGGCTCTAAGGGCCCCAGCGAAGACGAGACGCTGGGACTCGATTCCACACGACAGCTGCAGGGCTGGGGAACTGCATCCGAGCGGTCGGGTTTCACAGAGCGCGATTATGCGCCGAACGACTACAACGATCGTGGCCGCGGACGCACTGTTGAGACACAGTCAGGAGGTGTCGCGGTGCTGCGGGCATTGTACCAGTGGAAGACGACCTCGTCGCTTGCATGATCCGGGTCATTCGGCCGATGGCCTAGCACTTGCTGTACAAATGGGTTGGTTGGTTTGATTGTATGTTAGGGAGTTTCAGGAATACCTACACTAGGACCGGAACAGGCGTTTGGAAGCACGATTACCTTCGTCATCTGTAGGGCGCGGCAGCCATACTCACCTACGTACATACACAGAACATGCATGATGTCTTGATCAGCAGAACAAGTTTGCCACATAAGCCGATGCCAGCAGTATGGCCGTGGAAGAAACCTCCGTAGCCTGCGTTAGTTGAACCCGGGGAAATGAAAAACCGGGGAAAAGCCACGACATCGACATCATCATCAACATCATCGCACATGGCAGGATCACCAGATTGACCCCATCCATCCATCCGCCAGCTCGGCTAGACAAACGCGCTCAGCCAGCATTTACTTAAAAAGTAAAAATAGACCAAAAAGGGCAGAATCTACCCAACCCAACCCAATGGATGATGAGATGGGATGTCTTACTACCTGCCGATTAGAGTAAACCCTCCGGATAATATTCTTCCTTGACAGTAGTAACTTAGTACTTAGACAGGTATGACTCTGAAAGTACAGTAGTTAGTTATTACGTTGGTTGGTAGTAATTCAATCCCTCCGTGCCGTCCCGCGTTGCTGCTGCTTTTTCGGCCCCCCGATCCGATCTTCCCCGGGGATGAGACCGGCCATGTCATTGAATTTTATTGCCATCTTGGATGGATATTAATTTACTTATGGGCATAGTAAGCGGAGCGGAGGGAATTGGAATGTGTTGTGCCGTCCTGTGCCGTGCCGTGTTGTTGTGTTGTTGTGGTTGTTATGTGTTGTCTATTTGGATTAGTTGATGAGCGGGTGTGAGATTTGGGGGTGGTTTTTTTTTTTTTTTTTTTTTTTTTGTTTCTGCTTGACCGACTATATAATATAATGGCTTGCGGACCGTAGTTACTGCTTACTGCTTACTTCATAGGTAATTAGTTAATTAGTAGTTGTTTCTTTTCGATTCTTTTCTCTTTTGGGAGAGGTTGGTAAAAAGGTGTACGGAGTACTCCGTGAGTACTACTGTAGTAGATGGGGGTTATTCTTTTTGGGGGCGTATATTTTATTTTATTGATTTTTTTATTTTTTTTTCTTTTCTGTTTTTGTGTTTTTTTTTTGGATTGGGGGTCTTGGATGGAATACTTTGGCACTAAAGTGTATAGCTAGTAGTTGCTGCATTGCAGTGTATACTGACTGGATGGATGAATTTGTGAACTAGCTAGTTATTGAAGGAAATGTAAGGTGATTAGTTCGTTGGGTAAGTAGTGAGGATAAATGATGATATCACCGGACAGGTTTAATCGATTATTTTGTTTCTTCTTATTTTCTTTTACTTTGTCGGTAGGTAAGTAGGTAGGTAAGTAGTTATTGTGACTATTGACGGAGTATCTTGAGAAGTTGCAGCAAGTAACGTGATATGATGAAATGAGCTGGGTCATGTGTCTCTCATCCAGACTCAACTATCTACTTAGTTAGTTGGTTGCTGTGTAACTGGTTGAAATGATGTAAGCCGGAATGAAGTTCCTAACTAGCAGTTAGTTACCTACGTGACTACTCAAGTAATAGGTCAGGTGCTAACACTATCAGATGTTGTTGCTTGAAACCATAGCAGGCTAATTAATTAGCCCTCTATTCATCAACATATGATAACTACTAGTAGGGGTAAGTATCTACGATGTACTCATCTGTAGTCAGTATGTCTACTCTCCACGCACTTGATCTAAATGCCCAGCAAAGTCTGAGGAAACTGTATAGATGCCTGTCCAATGGGTAGAAGAAACCACGCACTGCAGCTCCCAATACTATCAAACAAATAGATCGTCAGCCCTTCAACATATTAGTAATCTATGTCTATATAATGTTTGGATAGTTATTAGTGATGGTTATTTAAACTCATAAGCGAAGTATGCGAACCCATACTATAGTGAGCTGTACTAAAGGGCCCGTGGATACTCAGGCCCCATAATAGGTTTTGGAATGAAATGGGCATCTACTTTCGAGAAATGAAGGAGGGGGACCATGGGTGGAAGGGAAAAAGAAAAAGGGAAAGCCACTACGCAGGCGCATTGACCTTGTGCCCCCCTTTATCCCTCCCCTGGTTGATGGTGGTGGACACCCAAGGTTCTAGGAGGAATCATTTAATTTATTCTGGAAGCACTAGGTGGAACTACATATAACAGTATAGTAAGTCTCTAACCACGGGGGTAGGGTGCCTGTGCCTTGCCGACCATACGATAAGGAGGGGAAGAATTTTCCATGGGAAGATGACCCCAGTCAGTAGTAGGAGGATGTTATGGACCTGCCGGATGGGTTTAAGGGGGCGTTTCCTGGCTGACCGTTTCTGCACTGATGGCTGCGTTGGCTATTGACTGGGTTGGGAGGAGGAGGGTAGGCGGCAGCAACTCAAGTCTATGTTATCAGGTCTCTCTCTCGCAACACACACACACACACCACACAGACATTTTTCTCTTTGTGCAAGACGATCGGTGGCTTGAACGAGGTGTACTGTGTATGATGGTGGATGGATGGAATGTGGTAGACTAGAGTAAATTTGCTGGACAGGTCGTCCTCCGTGCTCTGTCTGTGGAGAGTGGATACTCGAGGGATAATCAGACAGGTCTCCTAGTGTTAATTTCCTGTGAGAGCATTGAACAACATCTGAACAGGTATGGAGACGAAGGGTTAAGTGTCAGGGTCGCGATGATCCTTCATCATCGTGCCTCGACATCAAATGATCGGGTAAAGGCATCAAGCCAGGTAGAACCGAATTCGGGTTGGCATCATGACTGTTGGTGCTTGCTGGGAGTCTTAGCACTCAGCAGTGTCCTTATTAGCGGAGAATCCCCTCAGCCACTAGCCGATCCCAAATCGGCAGTTCTTTATCGTCACTCGCCAGGGTGGCATTGACCTTCACTGGGCTCATTGGAGCTTGCCCGGTAAGTGGACACTGGACGGAAGAGAGAGGAGGGGGGGGGGGGGGGGTAAGAGCCAAGTGTCTGACTTGCGAGGACAGCTCGGACAAGGTGGTTCCCGTTGGGATGTCGTGGGGTTGCGGTATGTGGTATTTACATAGTCACGAATGAGCGAGAGAGAAGGGAACAAATGGATAGACAGGTAGGGTAGATAGACGATAGTAGCGGGTAGTAGGCAGGAACTAAGAATAATAATGCTGGCCGTCAACCATGGAATGGGCGAGTGGAGCAAGAAGGCAGTCACGCGGCCGCCCAGTCGTGGTACCCTTACATCCTCGTAATCATTGGTATTCTTCCTCCTGTATGTATGGTAATATTTCGGGGAATCCTCGCTTCTCTCGGTTTCACCCGTCGCTTCGAAGAGCTGCCAGAGAGGATGCTTCATTGCAAGTTGGGTGCCTGCTTGTCCACTATGAGGTCACGGGCTTCTCCCCCCTCTCTTAGGCTACTACTACACTACTGTATTCACAGTAACTAACTCTGACTGAGACTTAGCCTTACTTGCTTAGGTGGCCCCCTCTACTACCACTGTCGGACCTGACGTGCCTACCTACCTGAATCGGCTGCCGATTTCATGCTAAGCCTCCTCATCTGCCTATCTTCATACGGCGGAAGACTGATCCCAATCCTCATCGGGCAGTGGACAACTGTCATAAGTCAGGACCCAAAGAGAGAAAAAGGAAAGGGAAAGGGTTCGGCCGTGGTCCCATCCGGTCACAAGCTCTTTCGCGCGCGCTCTCTTTTCTGAGTGGGGAGCGCGACTGCATGCACCGATGCGGGGGTCAAGGAACGCTTTCCACTGGCTAGTTTGCACTCTGTTGTTCAACGCTCCCCGGTGAATGCATCCCCTCCATCGAAAACGGAGCTCGCTCACTTGCTGCTCAATTGCAGTTGGGGGCTCATCCTGCAGGTCTGCTCGACCTCGTGTTGATAACCGGATTCATAGGGGAAAAACGCGTCTAGCGAGGAGTGAGGAATAGCTCCGTGGTATAGCGTACCAAGCTACCAATCTTCGCGATGAGCTTCTCATCCAGTAGGACGCGGAACATCGCCTTTGCAATGTTTTCGCCGACCCAGCGCAACTAATGTAGCCACCGGGGAACGTTCCGGACATCGTCCGTTGGGGCTCATGTATGCAACTGCAGCGCCTTGCTGCAAATTCGCCACGATTGTACTAGCGGTCGAGCTGAGATGCGATCTGTTCGGTGCTGGTGGTTCTTTGATAGAACCTACGAGATAACTAGTCGCTCCGCCCGTGACGTTGACTTGTTTCAGTTGCATCCATCAGATCGATGGGACCTGTGTGTCTTGGTGCTGATAGCGCCCGACTTCTCCGTACTTTGTCAGAGCTTCCGGGGCTGAGCCTTGCATTCAGCCAGTCAGGTACATTGCAGCACGGGGAAGTGAAAGTACCATCCGCCAAAGGGGGTGGACAAGAAGAGACATGCTCCAAAATTTCAATCAAAGTATCAAACAAGACGAGCAATGGCAACAGACAGGTCCAATGAGAGGAACTTTCATGACGTTCTCACCCGTCATAGTTGAAGTTGCCCCGAGGATGAACCACGGTGAGCGGCGACGGTCAGCGCGCGCAAAGACCTTTAAGCTGCGAAAGAAAATTTTGCGCGCGTCTTCCCCGAAGCCTCACCCATGGTCGAGCAATTTCTTCTATTGAGGTTTAATTCCCACCATCTCGGGTCCCGTATCTGTGTGTTATTTTATTACCATTATCATTATTATTCTTAAGTTCATCGCGCGACCATCGGGAAGCTTCCTTCGTCCATTCCTAGCCGGGCTGGAGAATTTTAACTCACACTTGCCCACCAATTCTCAAAGCACCGACGAATGGCAATGCGCGGAAGCCATCCTATCCCTGTCGCGCGGTAGATGAATGAATGCATACATGGCTCCTGCCAGTTAGTAGTGTTATGTTAAGAAGGCGCCATACGGGGTACCCCATATAGTCCAGGGGCAAAAAAGAAAAAGGGAAAATCTGAATCAACTTTCGTCACATTATCAACCCTGTGATTCGATGTTCCGATGGACACATGTTCCCGAAGCGCGATGGATGGGGAGAGATGGATCGGCAGCCTGCACATCCTTTCCTGGTTCTGCTTTGGCTGCTCACTCCCACTCGCTCCCACTCGCTCCCAGCCATAATCCGTCAGAAGGTGTGTCGAACCCGCGGGAATGGATCGTCCTGCCCCAAGCCGTTGACTTCCTTTGTGGTGGAGCTTAAAATCCGACCAGAGAAGGAAAAGTACGCCAGCCCACCTCCACTACCAGATTGGGGGGGTTGGGACTAAAAGGACGATACATGATCATCCAGCACAAAGTACAACTCCTCCATATACAGATGCATCGTTTTTCCTATTGCTGCAGGCAGACGATAGATGTGCTTTTTTGGGATCTCGTCTACGGCAGGCAAAAAACACTAGTGGTGGCAATCACAAGACTTTTGGTTGTAACTGAGGGGGGAGATACCTCCGGTTGTAGTACCGTCTAGGTGCATTATCAGTGGCACTAGTCAGGGTAGCGGGAGGCACGATGAGAGAAAGGTCGAGCGAAGCATTCCGATATTGATCCTGACCCCGTCTTGCGGCGATGGAGGCAAAGCCACGAATCCGATGGCTCGATCGACGTTGCATGACCTCCCCTGAAGACTTGATGAGAACGTTTTGACTAGGTCCGACTGACTGACTATTATCGCCCCATTTGACGTACTGATACACTCTTATGCCATTTTTGTGGCTTAATGATCCGCCGCCGCCTCGGCAATTGCTAGGAGGAGCTAAGGGGGAATGGAGAAAATGAAAGGTTCGCTTCGCTATGGAGCTATGCAAAATTCGGTGACTTTTGTGCCAGGGGAGGGGGGTGGGAAAGTGGAAAAGACGAGCCGTCCTGTTAATGTTGGCGAGTGTTGATTGATCCGTGGCAACAATGAGAACAACAACAAGAAGAAGAAGAACCAGAAGAAGGGAAGGGGGAGGAGGGAAGGGGAACCAAAAATCACATTGTAAAAGGGCCATCCAACCTCAGCAGCATCATGCCTCTACATCATCGGCCATGGATCATCGTCATACTACTAGCGGTGGATGATGAGGATCATCGCCATTCCTCCGAGAGCGACACCTCGTTGGCGGTGATGAGTGGCCCCCCCTTCAGGGGATTTGGGTTCCCGCTAAGGAGGGCAGCGGCGAACCAAGGGGCGTGAAATGCTGGGTCCGACAGTCACTAACCGAACCACTGCTGAGAAAGGAACAAGACGAACCCCTAAAAGGGCAGCGGCGCCCACCAACCACGGGACGCCAGTCCGAACGGAGGCCCTTCACCGAAACAATCATCTGGCGGCTTTTATTTGATGGCCAGAGAGAGAGAAGAGTCAGAGTGAGAGACAGATATCTTTTTGTTCTTTTTTAGTCGCTGGTTTACGTAGTTGTGAGGTGTTATGATGTAGTATCTGTTTGGTAGATGGGTTAGTTGTCTCAATGGGATTGGGCTTTTCTTTCACTCTACATAGTTATTCATGTGTCTCATGTCTCTTCTTTTCTTAGCCAACATCTTCCTTTTTTCCTGCCTGTCGTGTCTCTGTTTTTTTCGCCTCTCTTTTTTTACATTTCTTGCCTCCCCCCGTACCTAGGAATACGGTGATAATCATTCCAGTGGCGGCCACGAGTCTTCCCACTTTTAGTGTGGTGCCGCTAATCCCCAACTGGGTAAGACCGAGCCCACCGAGGTACCACTCCGTACTCTGTTTGTACCTCCCATACCAAATCCGGGTGAATTTCCTGCCCAAAAGTACAGCAGGCATGTACCCTCTGGGTAATTATGGGAATCGGTATGTTACCGGCTTCCCCCTGCTACCTGCCTGATTCACTCGAGGCAGGGCTGTGATTAGCCCCGCGACCAGCTCTAATTGTCGCATAAATTGTGGTGGATTAGTGTCCATTTCCCAGCATGACAATACTGCGTGTGTTGGTATCTGACTGTTATAGTTACCCACTGCGACTCATGACTGCTACTACTACTAACTAACTAACCCATTGGTCTTGCTGGAGGAAGTACTCCGTAGTTAGTGTTTACTACTATAGGTACGTGGTCCATCGTCAGTCACGGCACTCTTCAGTAGTTATCTAGTTAGTAGAAGCGGTAAGAATAGAAGCAGCAAAGTCAGTAAGGCAAGTCAGTCGTGAGCTACTAGTAGTAGTAAGTGTACAAGTATCAGTAGTGGTGGTATAGAGTATGTAAAAGCGGTACGGATATCAACCGCAGCAGAAGAGTGGTTCCTTTTTGCGACTTTTCGCGATAAATTCTCCCCATTATTACCTACTCGGGAGTATTCCTATTACATACCAGATCTGCTTGCTGCTGCTGCTTAACTTGCTTTGCTGCTACTTGCTGCTGCTGGTCTTTTTTGCTTGCGAAACTGACCACGATAATTTATTATTTTATTTATAATTATTTCTTTCAAGGATTATTATTGCGACGAACTATTCCTACTTACAGCGACTTCCTCGACGTTCTCAATCTCCCTCTTCGCGTTCATACCTCTCTCTTTTTACTCATCTTGCTGGTTGTTCAATTTTTTTAAGCTACTGGTTTTGCTCCTCTTTTCTCTTCTCCTCTCCTCTCTTCTCCTGTCTGTCCGTCGGATCTCTCGTTGTCCTTCTCCCTTTCCTCAACCAAACCTCTCCTCTCCTCTCTCCACTTCCCTCCCTCCCCGACTCTCACTGGGATTTTCTTAACCCAAAGAATTTAACAACCCCCCTTTTTTTTCCTTTCCTCTTTTAATTTATCTTACGTGACTTGAGAGGAAGTGTGATTGTGACACACACACACCCACACTCACCCCCCAAGACCTTGTCGCTCATCAATCAATCACTCAGCAGCGTTATTATTCCTTTCCCACTCGCAGCAACTACTGCACTAAAACACCACCGAACCCAACCCAAATCAGCACCAAAAACCCACCTCCCTCTTCCCCCCGTGTCCAAGTTTTTAGTCCGCCCGTTTTCGGACTGCCCAACGAACTTTCCTCAAACCCGGGTTTGACACCTTGGATTCATCCCTAATCCTTAATCCCTATAGACTGCCTTGCCCCAAAAAAGGAACAAAGGCGAATATAGCTGGCAATCACTTCAGGTACATCCTTGAATTGCTTTGTCCTGAAAGTGGTGGTTGTCTTTTCCCTCCACCTCTTTCTCTCTCCCTCTCATCTCTCGTCGCCCCCCCCCCCCCCCCGAATTCCAGTTCGCTTAACCCGGACCACGGCTTGTCGCTCTGGTCCCTCCCTCACCCCCTCAAAGTCGCTCTCTCTCCCCTTTGACCGACTTTATTATTTCTCCAACTCTGCCTCCCCTCTCGTCTTGAAATCTGATCTGATCTCTTCCTCGAGATCTCTTCCTCCCTGGCAGCCGGAACCTGTTTGCTTCTTCCCAGCTGTTTTCGTTGTCCCTTTTTTACTTTTTCCGGCCCGAGAATCCTCGACGAAACAGCCGCCCTGGGAAACAACCCACCTCTCGCTCTTACACCAGCTACCTCCAGCGACAACGCAGATCTTCCCATCTGAAGTCATCGCTAGAGGTAGTCACAGCCCAGCTGTGAAGAAGATATTCAATTGCTGTGTCTGAAATCGTTTCTTTGCGGGAGTAGTTCTATTCCGTTACCCCTCGACCGTGGAAAGCCTGCCTCAGCGACCGCCCCGAGACTTTTTCTCATTCGCTTTCAAGCCACCGTCAACCACAGAAACTCTTAAATTCAACCACCGGCGCCACCACCAGAGTCTGAAAAAAACCATGGCGTCAACATCAGATGTGCACGGTTCTTCTCCTGTGCCAACCCTGCCCCAACCCAACGACAACGGTCGTTCACACATGTCTTCTCTCTCATCATCATCCTCCATCTCCGACGCCGAAACAGAACGTAGAGGACGCTCAGAGAGACCTCGTATGGCCAGTCGGAAACCGAGTGCCTCGATACTAGTTCCACGGGATCACCCTGAAATCGAAATCGAAGAAGAGGAATTCCCCCCTGACGACGCGCGCGCCATGAGCCCTCGACGCAACTCGGCTGATTTGGAGCGACTGGGCAAGGAAGCCAGGCAGACACTACAAGAGTGAGTAGTCGAATGACAATTCCCCAAAATCTCCGGCCAAGTAACGCTAGAGACCAGAAAGGGGGGAAGAAACGATGCTAATGTGTTACGTGTTCTCGGCAGACAAGCCAAGGCCCTCCAGTCCTCCCTTCAGGCGCTCGCCGAACGTATCGAAGCCGTCAAATCCGACCATGATAAGCTCGAAAGCGAGAACCGATTTCTTCAAGACTACATTGGTGGATTAACCCGCAACATGACCAAGAGCGAAATGACAAGGAGTAGCACCAAGGTCAAAAAGTCGCAGAAATAGCTCCGACGCCGTATTATCATCCCGGCTATTCGATACAGATAAGCGGTCGGGAATTCGCTGCCCTGGAGAAAGCGAACGATAAGATCAAATTTACGAAACCTCAAACCTTCTATGCGATGACCTTCACGTCTTCTCATTCACCTCATGAATCTTCGAACTTGGGTGAATGCCACACTTCTTCGCTACATACTGCAGGTGTCTCACATATGTCGGAATGGGAACGCTCTTGGCTGCCGCGCATACTTGAGCAGCAATACCAGACGATGCATGCGCACGAAGATCCGCTTGGACTTACTGCTTCGTGTCTGGGATTCCGAAATGACATCTGCGGCTTCATCAGGTGGAACCTTGTGCAACGCTGAAGCCCCGAGGTGTGAACTTCGCAAATAGATCCCTTCCTTCGATTCGTTTCTTCACTCTACTGGACGGACCTGATCGTGCAACTGGGACATGGCGGTTGATCACGATGAACAGCCCCATCCCTTCACCTCCAAATTGCTACCCGTAATCTGCTGACGACGCTGGATTTGCTTCACCTATGGCCACCCACGTCAATGCGCTTCGCGTGTGGTTGGGGGTTCGCAGAAGCTGCTGCGGTCGTGACATCATCCACACATGCCGGGGGTTACCAGGGAATTTGATCGACGCCTACCGTCTTGGCAGCGATCCGGTGCACGACTCAGACATACTCTTTTTGTGCTCTGGTCTTACCTTTCTTCTGTTCATATTCTGTTTTTTACCTTTTTTCTTTTTTTTTCTCCTTTTTCTTTTGATCCCTCTATTCTTACTTTCCTATCTGTCATATCATACCGGAGGCTTTGTGTATTGGCATAGCACGCGCGGCGTTGGGACACTTTGACTGGGAACCGTTATTTAGACTTGTTGTGTTCATTTCATCACTTTCTGACATTTGGAACCGCACTGGGCGCATTTGTTTGCAAAGGTCTGCAAAAAGGCGGGAAAGCATTTTCACGGAGCAGCCAATCTTCATGTGGTTTACATCATCCTCATCCTCTCCCCATCCTGTTCATCGCCGCCTCTCCTCCTTATTCCTTTTCCCCCGATCTCTTCCCACCCCATCCCCCACCGCCTCCTTTGCCCATCGACATGTATATTGGAATCGTCCCGGACTGACGATTCAGATTCGACTTGGTTTGATTTTCGTTTGGCTCTGAAGACATTTGCTTACATACCCAGAAGCGAGCGGTTGATACATTAAATTAGAAACAAATTGACAAAATTGAGTCCTACAGTATAGATTGTAGTTGTAACCGATGTCTGTATGTATTGCGACAACCAGTATTCCGTACTTTGTACAATGCATGCATACCTACGAAGTACCAAGTCATCACACCGCATTTTCCCTCCTCGACAGGACCCAGTCTAGTAGTTGACAGCTCGACACGTCAATGGGGGAACAACAACCCACACGGGAGTCCTTTCATCAAACCAGAACACCCAGAAATATGACCAAGAATTACCCCGTTTCATACCTGTCAACTAGCAACTAAATTCTTCACCCATCACCGCCCATCATCGTCAACATATACCGAATTCGGTCGAAGATCGTACGTTTGTAGCCGCCCCGCCCCTTCTTTTTGAACTCGGCATTGAGGATTCTTATTTACTTACTTACTGATTTCCTTGGTGGGAATAGTCGGAGAAAGTACGGAGTACTTCGGAGGATATTGGATTAGACTATAGACTGGATCGGTGGTGTGGGGGGAGTGGATGGATTGTGCACTACTATTATCGTACTTTGTATTTTGATTTCCTGTTGAGATGTCTTGGATGATCCCTTAGGTTAGGATGATATTAAGCTTGGGGTTGGAGTATAGTCTCTTGCTCGTTAGGTGAGATTGATTAGTGGTTTCTGGTTTGGTGGTTAGGGTACACATCTTCTACGCTGGAATAACAACACCAATTAAGTACTGATCGTGATATTCTATTTACAGCATGAGGTTAACTTCATAGTTTAGTCTGTATCTGATCATTGAGCTGTTGACTAGTGAGGAAGTAAGATCTCAAATAGAATGTTTACATGCTAGTCAAGTAGCTGAATTCTTATCTCAAACAAGTAATTTCGCTTCCTCGAATAGAGGATAGAATACTCTCTCCGACCTTTTTCATCAAGCTATGTGTAGTAAGTAGTTAATACTCTTAGACTGGTCGAGTTAAGTTATTCAGTAAAGTAGTCATGGAAGAACTCCATCCTTGCGGATTAAAAAACACCGGAGTATGATCGTAGTAAAGGATGAATATCGAGCCTTACCTTTAACTACTCTATTCTACTTTAATAGTTATCTTTATATGTAAAGAAAAAAGAAGAAAATACTCTCTACTATTACTGCTATTTGCCACTGCAATTACCAGCCAAATAATTGTACATAAATGGCTTTGATGGGGGGGGGGGCGGTTTCAAGTCAAAGTCACTCAGCCAGTCAGTCACTGACATCTAACTATCACACATCACCCACTACTTATACTAAGCAGCAGCAGTGATCCTGACCAACATACTCAATTAGTCCATTCATTCCACCTCACCTACACGCCAATTCAAATCTTAACATACGATCAAGTGACCTACCTAGTAACCCCACCCATACTCAGGCACCTAAGATGCATACGTAAAAGATTTATACTATTTACATACTTACTAATTAGTACGTACACTTGAGTTATAAGTAGTAGTCGGTCCTTACATGCATGTACTTAAGTACTTTCTAGCCCAAAAAAAGTTAAAAAGAAAAGAAGAGGAAATGGGAACTTCTGATCTATACATAGCTCACTAACCCTACTACTAACCTCATTGAAGTCAAACAAAGGGGGTGGATGGAAAAACTCTACAATGCTGCGTGCATACTGCATTGTACTTTTGATCGAGGGATAAAAGTTGGTTGGATGGGATGGGGATGGTATGCATGTATGCATGTGCGTTGTATGCAATACAGAAATATCATACAGACTCTCCCGGAAGGGGAATCCGGAGTATCCGCGAGGGATGGAAAGTATGGCTGGATGAATGCATGCATGCATGTCGGTTATTCATAGAATGGGTTTGGTCGGGATTTGGTTCGTACTTTCATCCTCCCTTCTCTTTCTGTATCATGTTCGGTGGAAAAGTCTACGAATGTCCATGTTTGATCATAAATTTCAAATTTCTTTAGCCACTGCCGGGCTTTAGATCTAAACTCAGCTAAGGCGACAAACAAACGCCGTACGTGGCACAAGGTGGGTAAAACCAAGAGAGTTCGGGAAGCAAGAGTCAACGTCCTGGTGGGAACTGACTAGGGTGGAAGTGCGGGTGGATGGCAAGGAAAGGTATTCTTTGGGGGGAATTGCGACAATAGGCAAAAATCGAAATCATAAAGATATAAAAGGAAGCCCCGCGACAATCCGAGGACATAGAGACCAGACCGAGACCACTGACGGCATCAAACGACGCCACCAAAAGGCCAGCAGGTACGAAGAAGGCGACGAGAGATCCAATGAATGACTCCAAAGTTCATGACCTGTCAGCCAGTGAATGGCCGACAAAGCCCCATCCCTTCCGGGCTCGCCGGATGGAACGAACCCCAAAGCGCGCAATGGCTTCATCATCCTCTTCCTACCCCCGGGCCTTCTGAGCCTAAGATCCAGATTGTCGGCCGGCCGACCCTATCCAAGTCCGGACGCGAGTCCTTTGTCATCTTTAATGAATTTACTCGGCGGGCTTCTCGCCCTCAGCGGGGGCCTCATCCTTCTTCTCGGCGGGGGCGCTCGCCTCGGCGGCGGGCTCGGCCTCGGACGAGGTCCACAGAGTCTACCGAGTGTTAGCATGATCCAAAAACACGAATGCGACCGCATCAACTTACCAGGTTGTCTCTGAGGAGCTGCATGATCAGGGTGGAGTCCTTGTAGCTCTCCTCGCTCAGGGTGTCGAGCTCTGCAATGTCTGTTAGCCTCTGGTTCGACGGTCAAGCAGTAGCGTCCCACACGTACCAGCAATGGCATCGTCGAAAGCGAGCTTGGCCAGGTGGCAAGCCTGGTCGGGGGAGTTGAGGATCTCGTAGTAGAAGACGGAGAAGTTCAGGGCGAGACCGAGACGGATGGGGTGGGTGGGAGCAAGGTCGGTCTGGGCAACCTCAGTGGCGGCCTTGTAGGCCTCGAGGGAAGCATCGGCGGCGCCCTTGCGGCGGTCGCCAACGGCGAACTCGGCGAGGTAACGGTGGTAGTCACCCTTCCTAATAGACAGAAAGAAACACGTCAGTCATGGATCGCGATCGCATCGAGAGTGGGAACAGCGTGGGTCGCAACGCACATCTTGTGGTAGAAGACCTTGGACTCGCCGCTCTGGGCAGAGGGGATCAGGTGCTTGTCGAGAACCTCGAGGATATCATCGCAGATCTTGGCCAGCTCAGCCTCGATCTTCTGACGGTACTCCTTGATGAGGGAGACCTGGGACTCGTTGCCCTTGGACTCTTCTTTTTGTTCGATGGAGGTGACGATTCTCCAGGACGCACGACGGGCACCGATGACGTTCTTGTAGGCGACAGACAGGAGATTCCGCTCCTCGACGGTGAGCTCTACATCGGCGGAGGCAACGACCTTCATGTTCTCGACCATCTCTGTGGAACAGGGCGGCCATGTTAGTATGAGACGAGTCTCGTAGCCGCAAAGTGGGCGGTCGGAGAGAGGGACAATGACGCACCTTCGTAGCGCTCAGCCTGCTCGGCGAGCTTGGCGAGGTAGACAGCATCTTCGTGACCCATTGTGAAAGATTATCTGAATGAGAGAAGAGATGTTAGTGGGCGAGAATGCGAATAAATGGATTTCCGGATATAGAGTGCGGGCGACTGGGGAGAAAGCGCCACAGTAGAGCAGAATCGATAGTGCAGAGAAGCGAGGGGCAGGAGGCAGTCACAGGGCAAAAGTGAGGCTGTGAAGTCAAGTGGTGCAAGGAACACGGAAGCGATAACGCCTCCCCTCCTTTTCCTGGTTTGCCGGGAAATCCCCGTCATACGTATCAGGTCTCCCAACATCATGAGGGCCGTTGAAGGAAGAAGGAAAAAACAAGTCGAATTTCCCAGCCATCACGACCCCTAATCATTACGCACGCCCCAAGACCAGAATGCATTGCGACGATCGGGGGAGGCTTGGTAACAGCGGGTGGTGATTCAGCCGGATCCTCCACTCAGCTAGCCGTGGATTGCCTGCCTGCGTTGCGTTCCCAGAGCGCAGTCTAGACGGGCGGTTATGGAGGGGGGGGGAGGGAACGAGGAGGATTCCTCCTCACACCCTCTCAACCTTCCCAACCAGACTCGGCCATTCAGCGCGCGTACCCATGTCCGGGATAAAGTCCTGAACATGCAGAGCCTCCAGCCGCCAACACCCCGCCATTTGCGATCGGGATCGCGGCCAGAAAAGGAGGGGAAAGCGGCGGATGACGATGATGGAGGGGGATGGGCATTGGGATTGTCTGGTACGCGGAAGAGAGGGGGAAAGGACACGGCAAGGAAAACGAAGAGAAAGGCTTACCTGAGATAAAGCAACAGATAGGAAAAGGTGTATTCTATAGTCTGACAAGGAAGAAAAGAGAGAGAGGTTAGAAGGGAATTGAAGGAAAGTAGAGTTGAATGGAGGAACAAAATTGGGGGAGGGAAGATTTGGGCTGGTCGAGTCCTGTCTTTTTGTTTTCCTTTTTTAATTTAAGGAATGGGGGGGTGGGAGTATGACTTAAGCAGGGGGAGGGGGGGGGGGGTAAGAAGGAAGTGTGGATGTGGATGCGGATGGAAAGGGAAAAGGGTAAAGTACGGACCAAGAGGAGAGAGAAAGGACGAGAGTTGAGTTAGTCAGAATGACCGAGGGGAGAATGTGTGTGGCAGTAAAGTAGTAGGAGAAAGAGAGAGAGGATGGAGAGAGAAAGTTGCAGGATTGGCAGCAGCAGTAGTAGTAGTTAGGGAAGTTAGTTAGGCGGGAAAGAGGGGAAGAAAGAGAGAGAGAGAAGGAGGAGAAGGAAGAGGAAAGGGAAGGGAGAGGGAGAGGGAAAATGGGAATTGAATTGGCCTGCCGGAAGGGGGTGGGAGACTCGGCCAGAAAGGAGACAGGACTGACAGCCAGAGTTGGCGGTCACTACTTACTGGCCAGGAATCCCTCATGGCAAGCAGCAGCATCATCATCTCTCTCGAATTCAGTCCTCCCTACACTAATCATCATACTATGAATGCTTCCGGGCTGTGCCTCCCCATACTTTTTGTCACTACTCACCACTACTTCCCCCTAAAATCAAGTAACCCAAATGGCCAGCCCATGATGGAGTCGGTCTTACACACACACCAACCTTTTCCCCGATCCCGGCCCCGACTTACTTATTCTATCTACTACTGAACGATTATTGCTACTAATAATACCAAGAAATCAATCACAGGAATTATTGACCCTCTCCAGTGGATTTCCTCCTCTTGTGACGGGGGGTGGAGGCACTGGAGGGAGACAGACGGACCTACCTTTCACGGGGTAGAGACGCAGAGAATCCGAAAGAATCCCGCCGGTCATTCTTCTGGCCTGCCTTGTCTGTGAGTAGCTACGTACACTGACGCTGCCTATCCCAGAAACTTGCACATCATGGCTGTCTTGTATGATGCCACCCCATCCAATGGCATACTTTGGGAATGTACTATAGACAGCAAAAGAAGATTCTCGTTACAGACAGACAATGGTATCAGAGGTAGACCATCAGCTCCATCCATCTCTCTATCTCACTCAAGAATGAGATTGGTCTCCTAAGTGTCCAAGTCTTGACGCCCATCTCTTCTTCTCATCTCTCCTCATCCTGTCGGGTCTGGCTTTGTGTGGTTCGGTGGGCCCCCCCAGCGTCATCCCTATTTCACCTCCGCCAATCGTCCCGCCCACCACTGAGATCCCAGACCGTCGCCGAACCAGATGGATTGGCAGCGGATCATTATTGGAAGGGGGAAAAGAGGGTCAATCAAAGACGATAAGTTGCTAACCGTCGGACGGCGCTCGGGACCAGTCTATCTGTCTAGTTAGTATATTATCTATCTAGTTCGAGGAGTCTAAAATAGTGATTATTGATTGATGAGTTGATTGAAATGGGTCAAGGGATTGCTTCTGGAACTTCGGGGAATATTACTGTGTAATGATGGCGCTGAACTATTCATTAGGAGGCGATCCTATAATCCGCATATCATCGTCATTCAGGGATTCGCAGGAATGCTCCCTTTGCCTAGCATCCTCAGAAGATAGATAAATGAAAGAGGCAACTCTCATTTCAACTGGATACACAACTTAGACTCTTAAGTACAGTGTAAAAAAGTAATAAAATAACCATACCATGGGAGGATCAATGATAATGTGCGTAACTTCCAAGTCCGTCTCCCATCTCAACATCCCAACACCGCCCCCATAATAATAATAATAATAATAATAATAATAATAATAAAAATCCTACCAAATTAGGCTACCATCCCATCCCCCATCCGTCACTTGACACTCACCTGACCAGACCACCCGCTGACTCACCTCACCACATCACATGATCCCTCCATGATCCCACCCGGCAACCAACAACGACGTCATCCGCTCCGGTCTCGACACCTTAGGTAATCTTAGCCTGCCAACCCGGTTGCATTAAACACTTACTCTTAAGTGCCTGACAGTCTTACTACTCTCTCTCTCTCTCTCTCCTCATTGAACCTTCCCGTCCATCATCCATCCGACGAATCTGACAACCACCTGACCTTTCATCCATAACTTACCTACCTTATCTTCCATCCATCCATCAACCGCAAAAGCAAATCCATAACCATAACCATGCTCCGCCAATCCATCTCCAAGTCCTCTACCCGCCTCCTCACCACCACCACTACTCGTTCCTTCTCCGCTCTCGCTCCCAGAATGGGTGCTGGCGATACTGGTGCTCCCCGGCCGGGCGGTTCTCAGCATTCGTACGTTCATACCCTCCATATAGTCTCATCAATACCTACTGTCCTATCCTAGATGGGAGCATATGACATCATCATCATCACCAGTACCTAACGCTAACTGATTGAAAACAGTGACTCGTTCACCAAGCGCGAAGCCGCCCAGGAGAACTTGTATGTCCACGAGAAGGAGATGGAGAAGTGCGTATACCTATCCCTATCCCTCCACTACTGAAGAAGCTGAACCTAACATGATGATCCGTGATGTATAGGCTCCGTGCCCTGAAGGCCAAGCTCTCTGAGCAGCGCAAGCACCTCGATGAGCTGGATAAGCACATGTACGTTTACTGCCCATTCCATCTTTTCATACGGTTTGGGGGCTTGAGTAATGGATAGCTAACAATTATTCTGTATAGTGACGAGTTCACCAAGAACCAGGGCGGCGAGCAGAACTAGATAACTAATATCTTTCCTCTTTCTCTTCTTTGTGTTCCTATCATATGGATGATGTGATGATTTGCTACCATACCTACCTTACCTACCTACACATACCTATCTATTCTACTCTACTCTACTCTACTGTTATCGGAATACCGAGCGAAATCGAATCGAATCGACTCGATCAATCACACAGTGATCACTATCAGCGTGGATACATAATCTATGTCTTTTTGATATGATATGACATGACATGACATGTGTCTACCTACCTACCTACATACGCAAAACATGTAATCTCTCCTCTCTACACTGTACAAGACAATACATAGCATAGCCGGAATATCTACCAACACACACAAACACACATTCATGGCGATTATCATTATTCCCATTCCATTTCATTTCATTGTATTGATTGCATTGCATTGCATCGCAAGACTCCACCAGCACAACAGCAACAGCAGCATGAAACCACAACAACAACAATAGTAGAAAAAGAATAAGACGTAAAATAGAAAGTAACAACCAATCCTAGTTAATAAAGAAAAACCATCCCGTAACCGTTTGTTTACAGAAACCCAATCCACACACACTTCATTCTCATCTTCTCTCTACCGACGTCCCATATAAGAGCGATAGAAATCATCCGCCGCACTACCGCCCATAGTAGAGCTACCCAGACCATACCCGAACCGCGAAGAGAGAGACTGGCCGGCCTTCTGTGCGGCGTCAACCTTGGCCTGGAGCTCGCTGGTGCCTTGGTCGATGACTTGCAGTTGCGCGAGGTGGGAGTTGAGGATGCGGACGATTTGCGAGATCTATATTTCATCATCCATATATTAGCACAAGCCTTAAGGATTTGGGGTGGAAGGGGATAAGGTACGTACCGGCTCGTCAGCCTTGTTCGTCTTGCTGAGAGTCGAGGACGCGCCGTTGACTTCTTCAATCATGCTGGTCAGATCCTTGCCCATTTCATTCAGGCGCTCGGAGAGCTTCTCGGCCATTTTGTATCTGTTTTATCATGCTGTTAGCACCATAGCAAAGGTTAAACAAAGGGTTATTGAAAACGTACGTCCGTTCACGCTCCTGGTCAGGTCCCTGGAGGGTCTCGCCCGGTCCAACTTGCTTCGAAATCATCTCGTCCACCTCACGCTCGTACCGGTCGAGCCAGGAGCTGAGCTCTTCCTGCTGGCCTTCGACGGACGCCAGCTGGCGCTCTACTTCTTGGGTCGCGCGCTCGGCGTCAACCGTGCTGCCGTAGAGTTTCTGCACCTTGGTGCCGTTCTCAACCAACATCCGATCCCATTCTGCTACCTTCTCTGCTTGCTCGCGGAAGTCCTTCTGGTACTTGGTCAGATCTGTCGCCCACCGGGTGATGATCTCGTCCATGGTCTTGTTCTTCAGGCGGGACTGCGCAGGGGGAGTCGGCCCAGCGGTGGAGGCACCAAGGCCAATTCCGCCAGCGGCGGTGGTTGTGCCGGTTGCGCCTGCTGTGCCGGTGGTCGCTGAAGAAGTGGCGCCCGAGGTAGCGGTCAGGGTGGGCTTGTCGCCGGCCGTCGTGGCAGAGGTGGCTCCGGCAGCAGTGCTGGCTGGCTGTGTGGACGGGGTGGTCTCCGCGGGCTTACCGAACAGGCCGCCGGTGGCTGCCGCAGGTTGTGTCGCGGGAGCTGCGGTAGCTGTAGTGGCCGGTGCGGTTGTTGCTGTGGACTTAGCGTTACCAAGAGCACCGCCAAACAAGCCTCCAGAGGGAGCGGGTGTGGATGATGGAGTCGCGGACGAGGACGCTCCACCTAGGGCTGGGAAGAGAGAGGAAGTCTGTGGCGCAGCGGACGAAGCAGCTGGAGTCGTAGAGGTTTGAGGGGTTGAGGACGGAGTTCCCAGAGAGGGGAAGACTGGCTTGGTGGCATCAGCTCCAGATGATGGGGCCTTGAAGAGAGAAGATGTCTGCGCACCAGCTCCTCCTCCTCCTGCGGCGGGGGTTGTCGTCGTCGATGGCGCCCCCGGTGCCTTTCCAAAGAGGGTGTTTGGAGTGCTGTCATTGGTGCCTGTTGCGGCCGGTTTAGCGTTTCCGAAGAGGCTGTTTCCCGTCGAAGGCGCCGGATTTGTGCCAAAGAGAGGTTTCTGCGCTGTGTTCGCCCCCCCGAAAAGACCCCCAGTTGAAGGCTGTTGCGTAGTGTTGGAGGTAGAAGTTGTGGTGTTTGTGTTGGCGTTTCCGAACAGCGACGGGGTAGTGGTAGCGGGGGCTGTAGCGGTAGTAGACGACGGGGCAGCCGATGAGGTGGTGGAGGTAGTCGAGGTCGCGTTTCCGAAGAGACCGCCAGGCTTTTGTGCTGCCTGTCCAAAGAGCGTCTGCGTCTGGCCAGTCGCGCCCTGCGGAGGAGGACCAGCAGGCGTTGTGGACGAGGCATTGCCGAACAAAGAACCTCCTGTTTGACCGGGCGTAGAAGTAGCGTTGCCAAAGAGACCCCCTGCAGGCTTTGCGGCATTTCCAAAGAGGCCGCTCGTAGCTGTCTGCCCCGAGCTACCAGCTTCGGTCGACTTGTTGGGAGTCTGTGATGCGTTGCCGAACAACGGTGTCTGACCGGTGGCTCCCGGCTTGCTCTGAGCTCCAAAACTGAAAGGCGACGAAGTACCAGTGCCTGCTCCAGTTCCACTGCCAGCTGCGCCTCCGAACAAAGAAGGCGAAGAAGTGCCGCTCGTCGGAGCTCCTACATTTCCAAAGAGTGTGCCCGAGCCAGCGCTTGAGCCAGTGTTCGTAGCACCAGATCCAAAAAGACCTCCCTTGTTCGCGCCGCCAGGGGCCGAGTCGAAAGAAAAAAGGTTGGACATGGTGTTGGGTGGATAACAACGGGGATTAACAGGGCTGCCCTGGAGGTGGGAAAAAAAGACAAAACAGTCAGTCGGGACGGGTTTCGAGATGAGCTGAAGGTGAAAGCGAACCAACACTTACTGCGCCCGGAGATGCCCGGAGATAAGATGCCCTATGGAGACAGAAAAGTCAATTCGGGCTGAGCGTAGAGGTCGCGCCGTGCTCGTCCAAACACAGGCAAAGACAATCGACAGTGGATGTCTTCAACTATGAATTGGAGGTTGATTGATCTTCTTTGCTGGGCCGCGCTTGTCGCGGCTGGCGGCTAGCTTTATGCCTGAGGCATTAAAACATACACTATGACAGACTACCTGCCGCCTTGGTGCCTTACTGCCTCGGATGATGTCGCCTGAGCCTCTAGGTGCCTCAGGCCACGTTCGAGACTCACATCGAACCCGACGATCAGAAGGACAGCATCGTCCCCCCGTTTCATATTCATTCTCCCCTGGCTTTTCGGGCTCAGACTCTTACACGAGCCTCTGCGTCCTTGTCTGCATGATATACAATTTTCCAATATTGATTGCTCCTGATGTCCGAACGGATTTCCCGTCCGTCCAGTCCATACTTGGAGCCCCCGAGGAAGAGCGTGGAGTTGGAAGACCCGGGGGCTCAGGATTCCAGTAAGCAGCACAGTCTAGCACTGGGATTCCAATGGCTTGGAATTAACATCTCATCTACAGCTACGAACAGTGACGACGAACACTTTTCAGACGCCAGCGAGGGGCACCAACGCCCTGAATCCCACCCGCCGTCCGGCCGCGCTTCCCCTATCCCCTTAACCCGTGTGGAGAAGGTCGACGAGGAACCCTCCCATGGGGAGGTACCTGGAACCGCTGCCTATGAAATCAGGGACCAGGATGCCGTTCCCGACCAGATTGAAGTTATCCCGGAGGGCTCACGCAGCAGAAGCGCTTCAGCGAGCGGCGAACGGCCTGTAACTCCGACATCAATTCCGCGGACAGTGGTTGAGAAAGTCGACTTAGACCAACCCACTCATGGCGATATTCCCGGAACCCCAGCGTATGAGAAAAGAAAAGCAGATGCAGTGCCCGATGTGGTGAAGAAGGCGTCGGATTCAGATTCAGATGAACCGTCCCCCATACCGGGGTCCTTCGAGGCCAGTGCGGCCGACACCCCTGTTCCGGAGACGCTACTCTCCCGCGTGGAATCCAACGAGGACGATGTCGAAGAAGAAGGTCCTGTTGCTCACCAGCCAAAGCCGATTGATCCGGAGCCAGACCACACCGAGACCGTCCCCGATGCACCAGGTAAGCCGGATTTCGGTTAAATTACGACATGAAGTTTCAGGGACGATTGACCAATTCAGATTCGCCTGCAAGCCATCGAAGTCACACTCGCCGAGAATCGTCAGTAAATGACGCCGCAGCCATTGACACGACCGGTGCGGATGAGTTTGACGATTTCGCCGAGGAGCAAGAAGACGACGACTTTGGAGACTTTGACGACTTCGACGATGGCTTCCAAGAGCCCATGGAGGCTGTCGAGGACGAACCAGCAGAGATACAACCCTCGCAGCCTCCCACACCTCCTTCAGTCGTGCGCACGCCCTCTAGTATAAACCTTTAACGCAAGAAATGCTAAACTTTGTTTCCAGCCCCCGCTCCTCGACCTTGACGCCATTCCCTCCCTTGCAGACCTTCACACCACCCTCTCCGACTCCCTCGACCGCCTCTTCCCCAGCACCAAAGACACCGTCAGCCTGCAGCCCCTCGACCCGATCCCCAACCCTACCGCCATCTTCAGCACAGAACGCTCCCTCTCCCTCTGGTCTCAGCTAGTGGCCCCTCCCCCACTTCAGCCCCAAAACTGGGTGAAATCCCGCATCCGGCGACTCTTCCTTGTCTCACTTGGCGTGCCCGTCGACCTCGATGAGATTCTCCCAGCCTCCAAGCAAAAGAAACTCATCCTCCCCTCCGTCAACCTCGACGACACACGTCGCTCATCCACCCCACCAACCGCACACTCCCGCTCCCAAAGCCTAGCAGCCAAGCGCGACAGCACACAAAGTGGCCCCGGCAGCCCAGGCCCCAACCAACAATCCAGAACCCGTACCTCTCGCCGACGAGAACCCTCCCCGCCACCTGAACTGGATCTCCCGGCCGTACACCGCCTGTGCGCAACGACCGATGCAGCTCTGGACGGCTTGACGGACGGAGAACTCCGCGGACATGTACAGGAACTCGAGTCGGCAACGTTACGCGCAAGCTCAGTACTAGAGTACTGGTTGAAACGATTGGACGGACTCGTCAGTGAAAAGGAGGCGTTTGAAGGCGTGATAGAAAATTTGGTTAGTCATGCTAGACGTGTCCGGAAGTGAGTGTTGTCCTCGTCTGTGACTGTGATGATTGTGTGATGTGATGTGATGTCTTGTGATGAGATGTTGATAGATCGATTATAAATATGACTATTAAATTAATGATTATACATATGTTACATTCAGCACCTATCTCATTTAAGTACTACAATATCAAAGTATGGACTGCATCATCCTCGTGTGTGTGTGTGTGTGTGTGTGTGTGTGTGTGTTAGTAATTTGCTCGCACTTGTGGATAGATAGCAGGTAGTTAGCGGGTCAAGTCAGTTAGTAGTTAATACAGTCTCTAGTATAAATTGGTAAACATAATATCATTTTCTTCTTAATTCTGCTGTCACAGTGGTGCTAGTATGACTGGTCCAGTCGCTTTGGAGACACAACCATGAGTACTACTTAATTTTATATATATATGTATTACTGCACTGCAGAATGTCATACTACCAGTGTGCAGTTGTAAACCAGAATGGAACATGAAGCGAGGTGAGCTCATGACCTTACTATACCACCATATGAGTAGTATAATTGTCATTATAGCATACACTTACTATCAGTAGTACTAGAAGAGACCCGATACCACGGTATTAGTAACCTAAATATACGTACTACCAGGTAAGTAAGAAACAGCTCTAGACAGCTTCTTACCATCTACGATTTCTATTACTGCTTAAGAAATCCGAAAACTGAAATCATCGACAACCAGCATCGGTTTCCGAATTGCTTTTGAAAAAGTAGTATGCACAAGAAGAAGGGAAGTTAAAAACAAGACACCGGGTCCCCGCCTCTAGGTACAAACAAACGCCCTAGATCAAACCTCCCATGGCATGACAACTTGTTGAAAGAAATCAGAAAAGTCAAGCAAAGAGGTTTTGAAGACGAAGACCGGCAACTATCTAGGACAAATCGTGCAAAAGAAAAAAATTGGGTATCTCATACAAGACTCAACGCTAGGAAGTAGCGTCGTGGAGAAAGAAAAATCAACAGCAGTTGGTTAAGGAAATGGCAAAGAACCATGAGAAGAAAAAAGAAGAAAAAAGAAAAGTAGGAAGAAAGGAATGATGCTGGTATCAATTTGGAACGAAGAAAAAGGCAATTTTGTTTTCCTCCATAGAATCACAAAGACAAGCATGCAGGCGCACGTTAATCCAATGCGATCACCTTTGGTTCGGAAAATCGGATGAGAGTGTCGGATGTTGTGCGCTCGCATTTGGGCCTTTGCGACGCAGGAGACATAGACGCCGCTGAATCACTGGATTTACGCTTCGGGGGCACAGACGTTGGAGCAGCGGCACTCGCGGAGGTCCGATCTGTGGATGAACCAGTGTCTGACTTCACTGTCCATGATCCGTCCCTTTTGACGCGGATCGAGCGTGCGTTCTCTAACCGGTCCGTATGAGACAGTTCTTCGCGAATGTTGAAGAGAAACCCATCAACCAAGAGCATCTGAGGGCGCGCGTCTTGTTTGCAGATAGGGCATTTCCAGTCCTCTCGGAGGGTACGTCGCCCTGACTTCAAAGCACGGGTGGTGATGTAGGTCTCATGATCGAAGCATTCTTGATGAGTGCACAAGCGACCGCGGACAGGCCGGTTGAAGACGCGGGCAGTGAAGGGGTCGACGAGATCAATGACCAAGTCTTCACTCACAATGCTGACTTCATCATCGGGATTGGGTGTGAGCCGCTTTTGAATTTGCTGCAGAGATTCCGATGCAGGAAGGATCTGCGCCGCATCCAAGGCCGACACCAGGTCAGAGATATTGAGAATCTCGACGGCCGCAGAATATAGATGATCCCTCATCTCGGCCGGGCTGCGAAGGAAGTGCATGGAGACCGTATTGGGACCCTCACGTAGTTGCTCCGTGATTTCGAGGGGTATATCTTTGCCATTGTGCTGCCGACGCCGGGCGAAAAGTTCCACCTCGTTGACGAAGATGTAAACCACGCTGGGCCAGCATGTCTCGGTAGTGCACCAGATGTGGTCGTCTATAGTCTTTGCTGACGGATTGATTCGAATACAGCGCAGGCGATAAATTCGCTGGCCGTTTGTCATGAAACGGGTAGCTTGCATCTTACCACCAATTTGATCGATCTTCGCAAGTCGCTCAACGTCCGACTTGGTCAGATTGAACGTCCAGTCGAAGCGGCAATCCCACTGGCCCTGGCCCAGCAGAGTTGGGTTGGCGGCGAAGGAGTCAAAGTATTGATAGAGCGGGGTCTCTTGCGGGCCGGCAGGAGTGTGAGTGACAAGTCGATTGACAGGACCACGCAGATGGGCCTGATGCAGTCCGTCCCGCAGCGAATGAGGTCGTGGGTTTGACGGCGGAAGTGGACCTGGCGGAGGCAAAAGCGGAGTGACCATTGACGAAGGAGAGGGAAGAGGGGCCCCCTGATTTGGCATGCTTGCCTGCGGCATCAGCCTGTACTGCGTCGGGGTCTGGTTGTTCGCCTGCGCGGAGCGTGAGGGGCGGCCACGTCGTCGTTGTGTAGGGGCCGGAGCCGGAGCCGAAGCCGAGGCCGAAGCTGGAGTAGGAGGCGAGGCGAGAGTAGGAGCGGAAGCAGGGGCATGCGAAAGAGGGGACGGACCAGGAGTAGCCGCTGTTGAGGGGACTACTACTGTTGGTACGCTGGCGCCGGCAGGGTGTGGCGACGCTACTTGCGAGGGAAGTAACATTGTTTGTGGGGGAACTGGGCCTTGCGGACGAGTATTTACGGGGCTCGGGTGAATGGTTTGCGCTTGCGAAGGCACCACTTGTGGCGAGTAACTCATCGAAGGAGGATTATGGTGGTGATATAGTTGATGGTGGTGAGGCATCTGAACCATGCGAGGCGAATGCGGGTTGTATGTCTGCGAGGGATATGCCATTGGAGCAGGAACGGGTCCGTTTCCAGGCATCGGAACGTGAGAGCTCCTCCTTGGCTCATATCCGGGCACAGCTGATGTTGGATGCTGAGGGAGGTGAGGGGGTGCGCCTCGGGGGGACCCCACCGGTTGCGAGTGAATGTGAGGCTGATTTGCAGTGGTTGCCTGGGGAGTGGATGTGAGTTCTTTGTGATACATGGAGAGAATGATGTCTCTCTCCTTTTTGGCGCGCAATGCCGACACTGGCTTGGGAGAGTCCAAACGCTCGTCTGTGTATTTGGCGTCTCGATTGAAGATGTCAAAGAGCTTGTGCTCTCCGTTCTGCAGAGGAAGTCGACGATACAGTGCCAGGAAGATGTTGTACTGCGTGACATGTGATCGGATGTCGAAAGTCATTATGATTTCCTCGATTAATGGCGGCAGACCACGCCTGCGCGTAATCTGCTCAAAAGTGTCCCATCTTTGAGAGAGGAGGACCAAGGAATTCATGACCTGCGTTAAAGCATCCCGCCACCAGGGAAGGGCTAGCAATCGTTGCATTGGTTCCGGGAAATTCACACAGAACAGCAGAAAATCTCCGGAAAGTCGGCGGTTATCCACCAGAAGCTGCTTGACCACGGCAAATCCTCTCTCCTGCTCCGGACCGAAGCCTGGCAATGTGCGCAGTTCTGAGGGAGAGTAGGATGCCATGCAATACATCTGGTGCAGAGCCAGGTAGACGGGGTCATTGTCCAGGAGGGCGCTCTGCAGCAGGCGAACGCGCGGCGACTCAATGACCTCAGAGATTATCTTGTTGCGAGTCGCTTCAGCCGCAAAAGTTTCCAGCTTCTCCAGCCACTGTTTGCACAGCGTCCGGTCTATAGGCAACATAGGAACCGGTCGTATGACAGGCGGTTGCTGGAAATCCTGAGACAAGTGCGATGCTGGTATGCCTATCCAGGAGCCCGTTTGAGGACGCGCCGAAGGATCGCCAGGTCCAGGCAGTTGTGGTCGCGATTCGGCATTGCCAGCTGTTTGCGATTGATCTCTGGGCGTGACGGTGCCCCCTTGGACTGGTTCCGGCAGGATGACGGTATTGGCTACTGTTGCAGGTGTCGGTAATCCGCCGGACAGTGGTTCCTGTGGCCGATTGATTATAGACACTGGCGGGGTATCTCTCGTCGGAGGGGAAGGCAGAGCTGCTAGGGAGGAACCAAGTCCAACCGGTCCAATCGTTCCTCCATGGCGATCAATGGCACTGACCGGGCTGGCATGCGAACGGGGAAGGGTGGGATCGGGGGACGGAAGCGCGTTGGGCTGAAAAGTCCGCGGGGGGATAGCAGTCACGGGGGTCGGCGTCGCTGAGTTTAATGGAGTCGAAGAGGAGATGGCGGTGGTGATGCTGCGAAGCGGGGGTAGAATCGGGGCACCGCGACTCGGCTGAGCTTCCTTCTCATTCCTCCCGTCTGACCCCGAGATGGCCTGAAGAGGGTCAGGTTGAGCCATCGGACCGAGGGGAGGAAGAGGGGAAGGGTTCGCGGCGGCGGCGGAGGAAGTGATGGTGGAGGAAGAGGGCGAAGATGAGGCGGCGGTGGAGGTGAAGGTGGAGGTGGCCGTAGTAGTAGTGAGGCCGACGGGCGGCTCACGAGGAGGCGTTTCCCGCCCACGCGTCTGCCGTGGACTCCCAACTGGGGGCCCCGAAGCAGCCGACGTTGCCGTAGAAGCCGTACCCTTTGTCGCAGCACTCGCTGTACTAGCAGCTGAATCGGTCGTAGACGCACTGGAAGGGGATGTCGAGGTGGTGGAAGAGAGGTGGGGAGATTGAGGAGCAGTAGCAGCAGCAGCTGCTGCTGCACCACCACGCATCCAGGATCGTTGCACGCCTCCTAGAAATAAATGGGCAGTTGAATTGCTTGACTTGAAGCCAAGATTCGCGGGATCGCCGCGGCGATTACCGGGCGGAATCATCCTGGCATTTTCCGGGGAAGAGAGCAGGATGGAAAGGTAATTTGTGGGGTGGAGGACTGGTTGAGAGAGGAAAAGCTTAAAAGGAATGGAAATGTCCTGGCGCCGATAATGCAAAGGAAGCGTCTCGAAGAACCTCCTCCTCTCCTCCGAATAGGCGCGCCAGCCAGCATCGACTAGGAAGGGATTCCACTTGACTTGGAAAGAAGATGCCGCTGAGTCGGGGAGAATGCCTCGGGGAGAGAAAGTATGTGGATGTACAGTGGAGATATAGATATATAGATGTATACGAAGCAGTGAATACGATAAAATTCTACCGTACTTACTGCAATAACTGCATGAGATTTTAGTTGGGACAAAAGTACGGCGACGCGATCTACCCGTATACTTTGAGCTGGGTGGAGGGGTGAAGAGGAGAGATTCCCACTTAATTTTAAGTAGTGATAGATGTACCTATGGCTATAGTGATGAGAAAGTATATAGATCAATGGGAAGCGATGGGAAGTAATCGCGACACAAAGTACGGGGGGGGCGAATGACAATTCAACAAGCAAGGTTATCCCAGTGCATGATTGATGATGCGATGATGGGAGATCCCGGATTCCAGCTTGGCTTACGGATGCAGGTATGAGCACGAATGAGCACGAATGAGCATGAATATGGACATGAATGAATGGGTGAATGCCGAGGGCAAGAGGGACTGTGAGTGAGTGTGATTGAACAAGGTTTTTGGGGATAGTAGGAGCGTGATCTGGCCTCTGGTGTTAGGGCAGCAGCAGCAGCAGCAGCAGCCATGCAGGCCAGCATGCCATCGAATCGAGGATTGACGTATGGAACTGGAAGAGAAGAGTCATTCCTGATCTGAATCAGGTGGAGAGAGTGTATTGACTAGTCTATTGTACTGACTAGTACTTCATTGTAAAGGGAAGTCGTACGAAGATGTAGTTAGAGGAATACATCAGACCGCGAAAACATAGGATTCCTGCGATCGACCTGTCCGCCTGTTTGTTTATAAATAGGCAATGGACTGGCGCTGAATGCGATGCATCGACTCGTTGGCCATCCGGATGCGTGACTGATCCGAGCATTGGAATGTCGATCCTGCAGGGGACGCCATGGGAACTAAAACATGTTCGCTCGGTGGGTAGTGTGTTTTTCTTTTCTTTTCTTTTCTTATTCCTGGGCAGTGGTAGTAATTAGTAAGTTAGTAAGTAGATGAATCAAGAGAGGGAGAGGGAGAGGGAGAGGGAAAGGGAGAGGGAGAGGCAGTGAGAGTGAGAGAGATACAGCATTGGTGCCCTTGGGACCCATCGTCTCCCAACTAGACTACTAGTAGTAGTACTCCATACTGTGTAGTGTATACAGTACGCAGTACTAGTTGGGAGGAGCAAGAAGCAAGAAGCGTCTACTTAGCAGTGACCCAAGGCTTCATAGTAGACACCATAGAAAGTAGGAGTAGCTGGCAAGTAGCCTGTCAATAAGGCGAAACTCAACCTGACCGGGCAATGGCCTCACTTTCTCTCCGGAAGAAGGGGCTGCCAGTTGTCGGAATGAATCCGTTGGCTCCAGTCAAGACAGCGAACAAGTCAGCACATGCCACTCATAGTCTGTTTCATACTTCTTGGTCTGTAGTGAGTGCCAGTAAAATGAATGTGGTGCCTGATGGGGGGAAAGGATGATGCTGCTCATAAATTTGAAAAGGACAGGCTGATTTGTTAGTGGTAAGTAGATAGTAGTAGTGGTGGTGGTGGTCGTTTAGTAGTCCATAATATAATAATAATGTTCTGGTTCTGGTTCTGCCCAAACCGGTAACGATTTGATATTTATTTGGTTGTCCGTATCCCCCGCTTCCATGGTTTACTTTGCATCGAGACTTTTCTCTCTCTCTCTCTCTCCCTTTCCCTTCACTCATACTCTGAACTCTTTTTTCCCTTTTTCCTTTTTTCTTTACTTCATTTCATCTCTATCTATCTATCTATCTCCTTTCCTCTCTTCCTCCCTCTCTCGGATACATCAACCTTTCCAAACCGATCCACCCCAAAAACTAGCCGCCTTTGTTAGCGCCTGCAAGTCTGCGGCCGTGATCTGATTTGCTTTGCGGGTTGCAGTTCAGACCGGCGGGGATCGTCGCTGTCTTATTATCGGCTTCACCTGCTGCGGTTGTCCATCCTCGCTACAGCTACTTAGTACTCTTCTGTACTCCCTCTCTCCCTTTCCTCGGCCTTCGTCTTCGTCGTCGTCGTCGTCGTCTACACGTCAGACCGCGAATCGCCCTGCCAAAGCCTGCTTCGCAGCGCTGCATCAATCCTCACCGAAGAAGCTCTGGCCATCTTCATTTAATTAATCCTTCGAAACCCTCGTCGACGGAAGCTTTGTTCAACATACACCCTCCTCCTACTATCCACTATCATCCACTATCCACCCACTATCTACTTCTCCTCCTTCCACTTCCATCGATTAGCTAAAATCCGGAACCCCATTACCTGTTCTTCCTCATTTACTTTACTCCATCTTCGCTTCGCCGCGTGCCAGATTCCTTTCCGCCCTTCCCCCGTCAATCTTTAACTTTGTCTAGTCACATTCCTCTGACCCAACCTCCATTCTCTGGACTTGGATCGCCTCTCATTCATTCATCTCCGTCCCCAATTCTGCTTTTATAAATTTACCCGGGAGGGCGGCTTGCCCCATGTCCGGCGCAATTCCTCCCCTCCCATCTGTGTTGTCGCTCTCTTGCTTGCTTCCCCCCACTTGGGCGCTTTAACCGGCCTCCCTTTCGTCATTCCCCCCTTCCGTCACATCCTCGCTTCCACTTTCTCGCGATCCTCGACCACTACCTGAGGGTACACAATGGCTCTCACAACGCCTCCTCGTGGGGTAACGCCTGGCAACCTGCTTCTCGTCGTTCGTAAGTAGCAATTTCTTGCTCCCTATCTCGGTCGCTGTGTGCGACCCCCGCCCTGTCTATCTTCATTCCGGTTGGTTTGCTAACCATTTGTGCCAGATGATTTCGATGCGCGTGGCCCTGATGAACTGACCCTGCGCCGCGGAGAGAAAATTGAGCTCGTGGAGCTGGATGATGGGTTTGGAGATGGGTGGTACCTAGGCAAGGATTTGAATACGGGCTCAACTGGTCTTTTCCCAGGAGGTATGAAACTTGAGCGCTTATAATCCGCACGACCGCATGTGACTGACTGGAAACTTCTGTTTCTGTTCCAGTTTACACCACTACTGCCCCGAGGATTCCCACCAGACAGCGGCTAGATGCCGATGGCATGACCGCACTGGCCTCAGAGGCCGGGACGGATTCCGAATCGAGCCAGTTGGAAGCCACAGACTCCTTCTCATTTCCCCAGAGCGGCGAATCCACCCCGCATGTTTCTCGCCATACCAGTGCCTCGGACCTGCGGGCTCCAGAATTGCAAGGGGGTCCTGTCGCCCCAGCGCTTTCTCCGAAACAGCAGAACCGCTCCAGTTCCTCTCCTCTACCAACCTCCACTATGAGCATCGATATCCAACAGTCAATCCGACAGACCATGGACGGCCACCATGCCAATGGCCAGGACAGTCCCGTCATGAACGAGACGCTTAGCGTGATCGACGAGCACATCACCGATCTGAGCACGCCGCGCCATAGTGTGGCTGGTCAGGAATCCAAGCACATGAACGACTCGGCCAGCGAGTACAGTAGCCACTTCGAGCACCGGATGTCGTATATCAATGGGCACGAAACCGATGAGGAAGAAGAGAACCAGCCGCGTGAAGAGCAGGTCCGGCAGTGGACGCCTGCAGAAACGGCCAAGCAGTTGCGGCAATGGGGTATCGAGGACAAGCACTGCGGCATCTTTGAGGATCAGGAGATCACGGGCGATGTCTTACTTGACATGAACCAGGACTTTATCTTCATGAAGGAGTTTGATTTTGGCGTCATGGGGCGGCGTTTGAAGACCTGGCACAAAATTCGAGCATTCCAGGATGAGATCAAGGGTGTCAAATCCTCGTCTCAACACCACCCTCGCGGTTCAGTGGCTGCTGTTCCCGCTCCTCCAGAGGAACGGACACTCAGTCGCGCCAGCCATACCGGCCCGCTCCTGCCCAGGATCCCGACGCTGCGAGGGTCGAGCGGCACTCAGCACCCCCGCCTGGTCAGCAGCAGTATGCAGAGCAACACCAGCTCGCCGATCACACCGCAGACACCCAACTACGTGAGCCATTCTCGCCGACCATCGGCTGCTTCCATCCGCGAAATCAACCACTCCCGACGCCACTCGTCCATCGACACGACGAACCGGTACTCGGGTGCTCTGGAAGGGTCGCCAGGCATCGGCAAGCGCAGTTCGTTCGATCGCGGCTGGACTTTGGCCAGCGGCGCTCAGCGGCTGCCTCCTCGCCCTGGAACTGCAGCCGGCACGTCTCATCCGCAGGACATGGGTTTCTTTTCCCAGTTGAGTCACCGCCCCTCCAACTCGAATGGGTCTGATCCAGCTGTCTCCGTCACCGACGAATTGGACCGGGGCTACTTCTCGGGGCCCGAGGGAGACATGCGCAAGAACCGGCGCCTACAGAAACGTCAATCTGCTGCGGGCAGTGCGGACTCTCGGGCATCCAACATGACGAATGACCAGCTCCGCGTCGGCAAGCGCCATTCGCGCATCGGCAGCATGGACTCGATTCGGGAGTCTGTCAAGCAGATGAACCCTCCGGCCAAATCGCACACCAGCCCGGTGCCCAAGGGCCGTCTCCGCAGTCTGAGCACTCGCATCGTTGACCGCCGAGGACAGCAATCAGCGCCCGCTTCCGCAGTGGAGGATCGGCCCAGCGGTGCGTTAGGCTTGTTTGGTCCGCTGTTTGGCAAGTCCGACAGCGATTCCTCGCGCTCGTCCGGGGTACCTTTGCCTCAGCTCAAGGGTGCGGGACCGAAATTCCGGCGTGCCATGGGAATTCGTGCTTCGTCTGACGTGGCGCCGAAGGGAATTGATACGTCGACGCCGCCGCCGGCCTCTCCCGTTCGGGACAACGATCCGTCGGCGCGGACCGGGTCGACCACCCCTTCGACGTCCAAGAGCTCGGAGCGACACAGCACCGATGGGTCTAACAAGACCGCTGAGGGTGGCCTGTGGCCTCGATCCCGGCCGTCCGTCAAGGCGGGTGTCAAGTCCAAGAAAGACACGAGCGCGTATATCCGCGGGCTGGAGAAGAAGTCGCCACAGGAGCAGATGGTCGGATGCGATTACTTCGGGTGGATGAAGAAGCGGTCTTCCAACCTGATGACGACGTGGAAACCCCGTCTGTTTGTCCTGCGGGGGCGGCGTCTGTCGTACTACTATTCGGAACAGGACACGGAGGAGCGTGGCTTAATTGACATAACTGCTCATCGAGTGTTGCGCGCAGACAATGATCCCATTGTGGCCCTCCATGCCACCATCACGGGATCGACCGCATCGCCGACTCCGGCCAGTCAGTTGAGCCAGGGGGATGGAGCTTCCTCCGATAAGGCTGCAGCAGAGGCCCTTCGGGCGACCAAGGGAGCTGGTGAAGGGCCGTTCTTCTTCAAGCTGGTGCCGCCAAAGTCAGGAACATCACGGACTGTTCAGTTTACTAAGCCAGCCATCCATTACTTCCAAGTTGACAACGTGCAGGAGGGTCGACTGTGGATGGCGGCGTTGATGAAGGCGACGATTGAGCGGGACATGGCGCTGCCGGTGGAGACAACGAACAAGCAGCGTACGATCAGTCTCAAGGAGGCGCGGCTGATGAACCAACGTCCTCCAGCGCTGATGACTGGATCGCCTAATACAGCGGATGTGGCTCCTCCCGAGACAGAGACGGAGGCACAGGACGGCTTGACGGATCTGGAGCAAGATCGCCAAGGGCTGTTAATCCAGGGGGTGTCCATGGATCCGGAGACAGAGCCGGTATATGTGGATGCGGAGGAGCATCGATCGGCGAGTCCGGTCGCGATGGACGAGGTGTCAGTTCCTGGGTTGCAGCGGAACTCGCAGTAATTTATGGAGGATTGATTGATTGATTGATTTGCTTACATGTGTGATGTATTGCTTTTTACCGCAGCCTGGTTGGCGTTTTATGTGATATACCCCGCTTGAATGTTTTCATATGTGAACGAGTCTACCTATTTGCCTGTCTGTCTGTCTACTATGTAGGATGTAATATGGATGTGAATGTTGAATGTGAAGTCTTTATCATTATATTTCTCTAAGCAGTATAAGCGACGGGGATCGGCGGGCCGCGTCACTGATCACCGCCGTTTCATCCTCGCTTCTTCTTCTTCTTCTACTTCTCACAATCCACACGATGATGGCTTGATTGAGCGCGTTCAACCCCGTTTACTCTCCTTGGTTTATTTCTGTTCTATTCTATTCTTTCTTTCATTTATTCCTATTCCAGTCACTCCTTTTCTCCATCGATGCGGTTCTCCCCATGTCCCTCCTCCGCCTTCTCCTCCGCCACGCGCTGGCCATCCTCCTCCCGCTGGCCCTGACCAGCACTGTCTATCTCTATCTTTATCCTGTCTTTCATGGCTGCGCATTCCCTCTGCCAGAGGACTCTACCTCCTCTCATCTTTCGCTTCCACACCTCTCTCCATCCTTCCTCTCTACCCTCCGTCACCACGTCTCCCCCTCGCCTCCTTCATCTGCGACCTTTCCCATCTTCCGCCTCCTCGTTCTCGCCGACCCCCAACTAGAAGGCGACACCTCCCTCCCCAAACCCCACGATCAACTCCCCGCTAAACTCTCCAACTACTACGCCGACCTGTCCTCCTCACTCCGCACAAAACCCCCATCCGCCACCCTATACACCCTCCGCTCTGTCCTCCGCTCCCTCGTCTCCACCGATCTCCCCCGCGCATTTCGCGCCGCGCGCAAGCGCCTTGACCTTCTCGGAAATGACTACTACCTGGCGCATATCTACCGCACGATGCACTGGTGGAGTGCGCCGTCGCATGTCACCGTGCTGGGAGATCTAGTGGGGAGCCAATGGGTGAGTGACGGGGAGTTTGACGAACGGGGTCGGAGATACTGGGAACGGGCGTTCCGCGGTGGTGTGCGGGTGGATGATGATATTACCGGGGAGATGGGGACGGAGGTGCTGGGAACTGATAATGGAGAGTGGGCAAAGAGGGTTGTGAATGTCGTGGGGAACCACGATGTCGGGTATGCGGGGGATGCGAGTCCATCGCGAATTGAAAGGTTCGAGAGGGTGTTTGGAAGGGGAGATTGGGATATCAAATTCACCTTACCTTCTTCTGAAGAAGGCAAAGAGGGAGAGGAAACAGTTCCGACCATCCACCTCATCAACCTCAACAGTCTCGTCCTAGACACCCCCGCCCTGAGCCCCGAAGTCCAATCAGCCACATACGAATACCTAAACAGTCTACTAGAAGAGCGAAGCCCATCCGTCACTTCATCTCCGCGCGGGCAAACCTTCACTCTCCTCCTAACCCATCTCCCCCTCCACAAGAAAGAAGGAATCTGCACTGACGCCCCCTTCTTCGCCTTCCACGATGACGACGACTCCAAGGGCGACGCCGCCGGCAACCCGCGCTTCTACGCCGGCGGCCTCAAAGAACAGAACCACCTAAGCCAGTACGCCAGCGCTAATGCTGTCCTTGAGGGCATTTTCGGGATGAGTGGGGACGACACCGTCCCCGGAAATGGTTGGGGGAGGAAGGGCCTTATTCTTACGGGCCACGATCATACGGGCTGTGATGTGGTGCATTTCGTGAATCGCACTGTTGCTGAGGTAGATGGCGATGACAAGAACGAGGGTGACGGTGACGCACCTGGCTGGGAATGGGATGCCCTGCGCTATCAACACGGCATCACAAGAGAAGGGGACCTGGGCGTCCCCGCCATCCGGGAAGTGACTATGCGCTCCATGATGGGAGAATACGGAGGCTACGCCGGACTCCTGTCGGTGTGGTACACCGGTACGGAATGGAAGTACGAGATCCAGATGTGCGCCGCAGGCGTGCAGCATCTTTGGTGGGCTGTGCATGTAGTCGATGTGATTACTTTGGGATTGGTGGTACTGTATATCGGATCGAGTATCATTGGAGCTGGTACTGGTGTCTCTGCTGGAAAGGATACCGCCAGAGCGGATAAGAAGATCAAAAAGCAATAACTTACATACATACTAGTTATAGTAACACTGAATCTATATAGATCATCCGATCAATCAATTCATATCATAAAGACATAAAATCTACAATTACATCATGAATCAAATAGGAGAGAAAAAGGTGGACAGGTTTAAATTTTTTATGAATCCTTTTCATTTTTAGAATGTTCTTAGGTCATACTAAAAAAAAAAAACCGGTACCACCCCCTTTGTTCTAGAAGCCCTTGGTATCGCTTTTTTTTCTTTCTTGCTCCAAATTCCAGGTTTAACACATTTTACATGACAACACCGGAGTTGGAGGCAATACGCTAGATAACTAATTAGCATGTTTTTCCCCACTAGCTGATATACTAGGGATGAAGAAGAAGGATGACTTACAGGCCAAAGCTCAGCAGCCTCCTTACCAACGGGACCGGTGATAGCGGAACCCTTCATCTCACCCTTGGCGTTGACGATCTAGATTCAATCATTAGTATCTATATGCCACAATTCTTCACCACATGGCGGAAATATGGGACAAGGGTACGTACAACACCAGCGTTGTCCTCGAAGTAGAGGTAGATACCGTCGGGGCGTCTCCAGGGCTTGCTTTGACGGACAACAACAGCGGGCATGACCTTCTTACGGAGCTCAGGCTTTCCCTTCTTGACGGTGGCCATGACCATGTCACCGACACCGGCAGCGGGGAGACGGTTCAGGCGAGCACCGATACCCTTGACGGAGATGATGTACAGGTTGCGAGCACCGGAGTTGTCGCAGCAGTTGAGAACGGCGCCGCTGTAGGCAGAAAATATTGATTAGCTGTGTTCATTCTTCTTTCATTTGTGTTCGAGTCCGTTGTGTAGGTTGTATATCATGGTGTTGGGGTGTGATATCGAGTGGGGGTATTGTGTGTATATTGTTCGAGTTTCGAATCAAAGATTGTTGTCGAGATTGATTGATTTGATTTTGTATCGAATCGCATATTTCTCTCGAAGATGGGTGCGTGTATTGATTGGAACGGAAAAGAAATTTGGAGTTGACATACCAAGGCAGACCGAGGGTCATCTTGAGCTTGTTGCCGGAGGCACCACCGCGTCTGTTGAAGATATTTTGTTAGCTTTCATCATTCCCCTTGTATCCCATGTATATCAAAATCCCTCCTCCATCTCCATAGATGTATTCCAGCTCTTTCCCGGACTTTCATTCATTCATTCCGCCTCTTTTCAATGTCGTATGTGTCGCATATCGAACATGATCCGACCGTGTAATTTCGAGTCGAAATCTCCAGCCAGCACTTCATCCTATCCCTATCTCCTCTCATCTCATCTCATTCCCGCAGCTGTTCAATATCTCCGGTCCGGATTCCTTCCTCTCTCTGTCTCTCTTTCCCACACATCTCCCAACAACGAAAAAGAATTACTCACCCTCTCGCAGACATCTTGGCTGTGTATCTAGGGTTGTCGGATTAAAACTGGGCGACAAGGGAAGGGGGACGGACGGACGGTCGAAACGGGGGGTGTCGTCGGATTCAGAGAGTTGGTCGCGGGTTTCGATTTGCTTCTCGCTTAGTGTGCGTCGTGGGTAAAATCTTGGCAGTGCTCTCCCATTGGTTGGTTTATGCGGATAGAGGGTTGCCCTAGAGCTAGTCTCGATGCAGTTAGGGTGGATTAGTCAGGGATGAGTCAGGATGTCTAGACTAACTAGTTATCTTTGATAACCAACTATCGTACTTCTTATCTGGGGTGACAGTTGTAGTAGTTTTCTCAATATGGAATACATTGGTAAATACACGTTATTGAATCTGCTCTAAAAATACTAGGCATTCATGCTCTCAAATATGTAATAATAATATGGTAAGAAATCAATTCGTTCCCAAACACCATCCGCCCGTGCCTTTGCGCCAGTCGTTCGTTTGTTCCCATCTTGCTCGCTCAGCTTCACTCCTCGGTCTTGCTTGCTTCCTCGGTCTTCTCGGCTTCTGTTGCTCCTTCGGCTTCCGCACTGGGCTCCTTTGATTTAGCCTCACCCGACTCGTCCTTGGCTGCCTCTGGTGTCTTGTCCTTGGTCTCGCTCGGCTCACTGGCCTCCGCAGGCTTGGTCTCCGCTTCTGCCGTATCGGCTGCCTCAGTTGTCTCTTTCGCAGGTGACTCGTCTTTTGCGACAGGCGTCTCTTCCGTAGCTGGCTTGTCAGCCGCAGGGGTCTCCTCGTTGGGCTTCTTCTCTTCTTCTTCAGCCGCGCCTTCAGGCGCAGCTTCGGATTTCTCGGTTTCCGGTGCGGCCTCGCCCGCATCTACCATCGCGGTGTCTTCGTCCTGAGGCTTGGGAGACGGTTGCCGGGAGATCGGCGCCGATGCTGCCGTCGTTTCTGGTCCATCCACTGCCATCTCTGTCTGCTCTGTCGCGGAGGCTTCATCTGCTCGGGACGGCGCATCGGCCGCAGAGGAGGTGGCTTGCGCCTCAGTCTCCGGCTCCGGAGCCTCGGTCATCTTCGCATCACCAGTCGTATCCATATCATCGTCAGGAATGGAGGATGCGTCCTGTGGCGTAGCCATGCCGCTCTCCAGCCCCGAATCGTTCACATCGAGATTCCGATAGTTGACCTGGTTTCTCCGCTTAAGCGCGTTGGGTTGCCGCCGGACACCGTTGGCCCCAGCCAGCTCCTCGTCGTCACTGTCGCTAAGCTCCCCGGGCTTCTCAATGTACTGATCGAAGCGCCGCTTGGTGAAGCGCTTGTCCTTGTTCTCGTCCTCGTCTAGATCGTCCAAGATGGCATCTGCCTCGTCGTCCATGCCCTCCACGAGAGGCTCTCGTGGCACCTCGGTCATCTGCACGGAGGGCGCAAAGGCGGTCCGCTTGAGGTTCTCCACAACCTGTGTGCGGATCT